GATTTAGAAAAAAAAATAAAAAAGATAGGTAAAATATGAATAAAATATACGTTTATTTCACTTAATTTCACACACTTTTTAATTTTCTCTTTTTAAATTTCTTCTCAAATTTTCAAACCACACACAAAGTTAAAAATAGCCCATATAATGAAGTCAATGAAGTACAATCACCAGAAAATTAAAAACATATATAATATTGTTTGGGGAATATAATGTCAAGTTTAACATATATAAAATAATTTATTTTTTTATCTTTTTTTATCACATCACTTTTTTATTTTTTTATACATTTTTTTATAAAAAAATAAAAAATATATTTATTTATATCATTCCAAATAACCAAACCAATATAAGATTGGAGAATGGAAAGATACAAGCGCAAGCTGCCATTGGAGGATCAGCATCAAATCTCTCAGTGGGTCCACAAATTCCATGAAACAAGCACAAATGCCACGCCTTGAATGAATATGTGATCGTACCCTTTCTTAACGATTTGATTACTTTTGGGGACTGACTAAGAAATTAAAAAATAATAAAAGTAAATTTCAAGAGATTTAAACTTTTAATTGATAGAAAAATGTTTGAGAGTTCTAAATTAGGAATATTAAAGGAGCTTTAGAGAGTAAGTCTCATTGACTGATGTGATATTTTAGTCTTAAGTTTTTTTTTTCCTTTTTTGAATTTTCACCTCATTAGTAGTCCATTAGTGCTCCCAAATTAATGGGATGAATTTTCTTACCAACAATGATTTAGACCACTAAAAAATACATCACTAATAGCACTAATGCATTGAAAATGACAATAAATAAAAAAAATAAAATAAACTAAGGCATAGAAAGTGGACGAGGCCCACTGCCACATCATTAGTGCTCCCCTAATACTCTCTTTTTTAGTGATCCCAAGCATTTTTCTTTCAAAAATGCTTCCGATCACTAAAAGTTCACCACTAAATCGGGCACTAATGACGTGGCTGCCAACGTGGTAATGTGATGCAAACTCGCCGGTTTCTCTCTCTTCTCATTCATTTCAAATTTCAAATTCATTTTGACAATACATTTGAGACTCTCTCTCTCCCTATTCTGAACTTCTCTTCTTTGAACTTCTCCTCTGTTGTTCCTTTCTCTTGACAATTGCATCTCTCCAACACCGGTGACCCCGACAAGCTCTCCAACACCGGCGACCCCGACAAGCTCTCCAACCCGGCAATGATCGAGGTTAAATGCAGCTTCTACAACCCTGGCGACCTGATGAGCGCAGCTTCTCTCCGTCATCATCTTTCACTCACGACGAGCGCAACTTCTCTCCGTCTTCTCGACAGATCTGTCTGCACAGGTCAGTTCTCTCTCTCTCTCTCTCTCTCTCTCTATATATATATATATATATATACACCTATATATATGCCCTGATTTGTTGAGATTTTTGTGCCTTTGACTTTGATTTCATTTGTTTAGGAGGATTTTGACTTTGATTTGCCCCAAGTTTACATTACATTGGATTTCCCTAAAAAATCTATATATATATGGTGGAGAATATATAAAAATGCTTAATCAAACGCATGATTTAGTTAGGATTCTCTTTTGGGAAAATGGAAAATTTTTAAATATTGCCCTAGAAATGTGTTTAGTTAGGAATTTTTAATTTTAAATATTGATTTAGTTAGGAATTTTTCACTCTTAAATAGTTTCATATTCCTCCAGAAATGTGAGATTACCATAGGAGTATGGGGATCAGATTTTTGATTAGTTTGGAAAGTGATTTCAGCTTGAGTAGGTAATCAGGAATTGTCTTCCCATTCCAATCCATTCCAAAAAGTGAAAATTCCACTTTTTGGCTTAAGTCTAGTACATAATTTGTGAATCAAAGAGAAGACACAAACCCACCAGGCCATCTGAATTTGATGGGATCAGAGGAAGAGAAAAGGTAGGAATAGCCTTTCTCTATTAAAACAGGACATTCATTTTTAAGCATCCAACTTCAAATTGGATTTGCCAAAAAAATCTATATATATTTGGCGGAGAATATATAAAAATACTTAATCATCCTTCAAAGCCACTGCCAAATATTTCTTTCATCATGTTTTTTGTGGACACTGAGTTATTTTGTATTTGGTTATTGACTTGTACCCTTTGATGCTCTGGCTCATATAACTGGGTTCAATCCCTACATTCTCTTTCCTTAAACTAGGCTAGAGTATGAATTAATTTTTATTAAAAAAGAAAAAGATGAACATATATAAAAGAATTGAATCATTATCCAACTATAATCCTAACCTAGTACCAAATGCCAGCACATAGGAATTTGAGTTTTTGGGTTAACTAATTTTGGGTAATAATCCATATCCTCCTCCAAGTCATTTTGTTTTAATATTTAATTTAATTACCATTTAGGTAGGTAAAACTTCACACCAATATTGCTCAACCATCCAATGCTCATTTTTTGTGGGAATAATTTTATCCAAACTTTGTACAGACTTTACCTACCCACTTCAATTTTCTAAAAAAAAAAAAGACAGTAATATACACACTAAATATAGGTTTCTGTGAACCAAAAACTTAGCAACAGACTTCTTTACCCACTTTAATTTTTTTTCCTTCAAAAAATAGAGTAAAAAGCACACTAAATATAGATATTTGTGAACCAATATATGCATATAGAGGAAGGCTAATAACACTAACCCTTTGGCCCTTTCATCTAAGTATTGCTTTTCTGTACACAACTAATAAACTAGTTAAATAAGAGAACGCAATCTGGAAAAGGAGAAGAACACAACCAAGAAACTTGTTAAACATTCTCGGCCACTTGTTTATTTTATGCAGCTTCTAAACATTCTCTACCACTGATATAGAAGGCATTTGTAAAATTTCAATTTTATATCTTATTCTAGTAGACATCATATTGATTTCAGCCTTTCCAGCAGACATCATACACATGATTCCAACACCTAGTCCCCAACTGAAAGTTGAATTGTCTATAAGGAATAATATGAATTAGATATGTACAAGTAGAATTCAAAGCTGTCAAAACTGTTGTACTCTTTTGTGGCAGAAACTACCAGAGAAAGACCAATTCATCACGAACTAACAAACCAAAATAGGTGCAAATATGCAGAAATTATAAGTTATTCGCTGTGAGAATGTAAACCATCTGATGACACATTTTCGTATCAATAACTTCACAAAACATTTAACCTAGTGATTTCAACAAACATGAATGGTGTTGCAACCCTGTTCACTCACTGGATTCTTTTGCATATAAATGCCAGCCCAATGAGCAATATATGAGTTTGATTATACAATTAAGTATATATGGCAATCGATGTTACATTTATAGGTGATAATGTCAACTTCAGATTTCGCTTCATATTTTTGCAGATGTCAACTTTAAGTGTTAACAGCAGTACCTCAGATCAATTGACGTATTGCAACAAAAATTGTCTTCAATGTCGGAAAAAAGCAATCATTCTAATTTCAGAGACGGAACGAAACAAGAATAAGCTATTTTATTGTTGTCCTGATTGCAGTGGGTTTATTGCATGGTGCTTGCCTACAAATTCACAACGTAGAGAGGAAGGACAAGTGCGAATGGACAATACACCAACTATCACCGAACAACTTCAAAGTATGGGCGAACATCTTCGATTTCAAAGCGAACCACATCAATTTCAGAACGCACAGATGCAAAAATTGCAAAGAGACATAAATAGAAATTTGTGTTGTATTAATGAGATCTTCATCTTGCTTGTAATTGGTGTTATATTTATTATGAAGATGTAATAATTTTTATACAAGTTAGAACATGTAATTGGTGTTGTATTAATTATGAAGATGATATATATGAAGATTTATGATATATTACAATTATAGATTGAGAAGTATGAATATGTAATCATGTGTATTGTTTGTTATCTGATTGGAAGCTTGAAAGTTATTTGTTTGTTTGTTTGAACACATATTATGAACAGATTTGGACAGATTTTGGGCTGATTTTGGACAGATTTTGAACATAGATTCTGTTTGTCTGGTTGAACATAGATTATTGACAGATTTGGACAAATTTTGGGCTGATTTTGGACAGATTTTCAACACAGATTCTGTTTATGTATTTGTCTATTTGAACACAAGTGCTTCACAGATTTGGACAGCTTGTTAACACATATTATGAACAGAATTTCTTCACATATTTGGACAGATTTTGGACTGATTTGGAACATAGATTCTGTTTGTCTAGTGCTTCACAGATTTGTGTATTTGAACACAGGTGCTTCACAGATTGTTGAAATACATTCTTGTGTATTTGAACATACATTCTTGTGTATTTGAACACAGGTTGACAGATTTGGACACATTTTCAACACAAATTCTGTTTATCTATTTTTTACACAGGTTGTTGAAGACAGATTTTAAGACATTTTTGCACACATGTTTTTGAACACAGATTTTTTCACACAGGTTTTTGTAGACAGATTTTTTCAACACTGGTTTTCCACGCAGTTTTGAAGACTTTTTTTTCACATAGGTTTTCCAAGACAGATTTGAAGACAGGTTTTTTCACATAGTTTTCAAGACAGATTTTTGCACACAGGTTTTTGAAGACAACTTTTTTGAACACTGGTTTTTCACACAATTTTGAGAACATATTTTTTTCACACTGGTTTTTCAAGACAGATTCGAAGACAGGTTTTTTTCACACACTTTTGAAGATAGATTTTTCCACACATTTGGGTGTAGACAGATATGCAGACATAATTTTTGAACATATTTGTAACAGATTTTTCACACAGATTTGTAACAGATTTGGAACAGATTTGGAACAGACAGAGCACAAATATAACATCAATTGGGAACATTAACTATAACAACAAAGTAGGGAACAACATCAATTTGTTCTCAACCAAAAAATAAAGAAACTGAACAATCCAAAAATATATTAAATAAATTATCCAAAACAAAATAAACTCCAAGTTTGGTCACATAAAAGACATTACAATTACAAGTTTCCAACTAACGAAAACTACCGCCACGGTCATTGTGGTTCATTTGTACATTGAAGTCAACAAATGAAGATGGTACGGCTCCATAAATTTGATGCGTAGCAGTCATGGATTGTTGAGTTCTCATAAATCCCGGTGTGCCTCCAATACAGTCTAACGGAGTAAGCGATGTGCCAACTCCATAAATCTGAGTTGGGAGATTTATGAAACTTTGTTTGCTCATAATGTCCACACTTGCCATGCCAACCACATAAGGATAAAGCTCTCTACGTACACTACGTTCAGGTTGAGATTGACCTTCACCTTTACCTCCAAGCACCTTAGTACCCTATATTCATAAAAGTTAATGAATGCCTCAAATGTATGACATGATTACAATAAAATATGAGTTGAATAGAGAGTAATGAATACCAATTTACGTTTGATTTGTTATGTTTTCTTTTGCTTGCCTTCAACTAATTCACTATTTGATCTACTTTGGCGACCTTTCTTTTAGTAACTGGACGACCTTTTCGCCGAGCAACCAAAGGACTAAGCAACTTGGTATGACTGATTGCCTTTCTATTAATGCTGGCAATCGGGGAAGATGGTACATTACTAGTAATAGGTGGTACATTACTAGTCGAAGGTGCTACATTACTCCCATCACTTTCATCGTCTTTCATCACTTTTGCCTTGATTTCATCCAATCCACGGTCGATAAGTTTTATTTTCCCTTCACAGTTCCCAACAAATTGTACAATGCCAGCCAATTTTCTGTTCATTTTTTCATACACCTTTGCATTGAAATCATCCCCAAAGCCAGTGTATATGGTTTTTATACATGTGTATCCTCTATCCAAATCTTTTCGCCATCGTGGTAGAATGTATTTATTTGGGACCTCATTTATGTATCTTGCAATGAGTATAACCAGTGAGTGAGCACACATGATGCCCCTAAATTCAAACAACCAGCACATACATTGCACATCATATTCGGTGGAATTATAATAGATAACAAAGTCCACATGCTTCATCTTCCCAAAAACTACCATAGCTTCCTTTACAAAATATGTACAAATTGAACCCTCTTCTTTGACAAGAAATGACTGACAATAAACTAGTCTCTTCATCTCTGCTTGAACTTCTTTGAATTTTACCTTGGTGTAGGCATCCTGAAATTGCTTCTCAAAACCATACACAGTTAGGTAATCAAAGACTTTGTGTCGAGACTTGAAGTCAGCTTTCTTCTCTTTCTCTACCTTACTTCTCAAGGCATTGTCATATTGTTCAACAAATTGTTTTAATGTAGTCTTTGGGTTGTCATATCCATCAAAAAAGGTATTCATACTCTCATTTCGTTGTGTGTTGACATGCCAGCCCAAAAAATATCTTTGACATAAACAGGAACCCATTGATGTCGCTTATCATATAACACCCCCAACCATTGATTCTCATAAAGATTGAATTTTGCAATCATGTCTTTCCATTTCATCTCGAATTCATCTTTTGTGAATGTGTCATACACTGCATTTTGCAAATCCATCTTCATGGATTCATATTGGGAATACCCTTTCAATTTCTTCGAAATTTTCTTCATGATATGCCATAAACACCATCGATGTTGAGTATTGGGGAAGACAATTTCTATCGCATTTTGCATAGCTTTGCACTGATAAGTTATTATAGCTTTTAAGGGATGATCTGACATGCAATTCAACCATGATTTGAATAGCCAAACAAATGTATCAGTGTCTTCATTAGATAACAGGCCACAACCAAGCAAAATCGATTGTCTATGGTGGTTAACTCCTACAAACGGAGCAAATGGCATATCATATTTATTAGTGAGGTAAGTTGTGTCAAATGAAACAACACTCCAAATTCTTTGTAAGACGCCCGACTCATTGCGTCTGCCCAAAACAAGTTTCTTATGCGAAAGTCAGTATCAACATCAATCATATAATAGAAACTCGAATTTTGTGTATGCATCCTGAAAAAATATTTTTGAAGTGCATCGGAATCTCCTTCTCCAAGCCTTAATTTTCTAGCTCTGTCAATGTAATTTCGTGCATCTCGCTCATCAAATGTTAATGACTCATAACCCCCAGCTTCAACAACCATTGAGTGATAATTTCTAGACACCCCAATCCCTGCTTGATCATTAATTTCTAATATTCTTTTCACAGGAGTAAGAATTTTCTTATTCATTGCAAAATGACATGAGTCGGTGGAATCAAGTCATGGTTATGGTCAAGGTTAACTGTGGTTAACATAAATCTCCTATCCTTTTGTAAGGTTGCTCGTACCCTTGCTTTGCAATTAATTTTTGTAGACAAAGATGGCTTTAGAGGGTTTACTTCTAATTTTTTGATTCTCTTTCCCGATCAAGAACATTCAATCCCAAAATTTCTTAATTCCCCATCATCGCCACAAATTTGAGTTTTATAAGCTATGGAAAATCCAACATGTTTAGCATATTTGGCATAAAATGAATACACTTCTTGCTTTGACCTAAAATACATTCCCCTCTTCGGTTCCTCAACTTCTTTACTCTCATTTAATAAAGGATTCTCAACACTGTTCGAACCAATCTCCATTTCTGCTCATTCAAAAATACCATATGAAATCAAATGATTTAATAGATTAATAGAATAATAGAATCAAGCTATTTTGTTATTACTCTGTTATACTTACACATATACACACAGATTAACAGATGAACAGATTATTCAAATCTCCATTAACAGATTAACAGATGAACCAATCTCTATTTCTGTTATTAATCCGTCAATTTCTTTATTTATATTTTCCTAACAAATAAATAATATGTTTTTAACAATGCAAGCTCTTGAACAAATTATAACATATTACCCTTTCAACAGACTATAACATATTACCCTTTAAAAAATTAACAGAGCTTCAAATTGTAACAATTTTTAATCTGTAAGAGCTTCAAATTGTAACAATTACCAGATTAACAGATTATAACAATTTCTAACAATGCAAGCTCTTACAATTTTGACAGCTATACAATTTCTGTTAATTTGAGTTTTAATCTGGTAATTAGCATTCCCAAACAATTTCTAATCTGTTAATGTGTTGAGAAGGTCCTATTAAATATGCTAATCTGTTAATTTGAGTTTTACCCTGTTAATTGCCATTGCAACTTGAGTTTTAATTTGTTAATTAGGATATTTGGCATTCTCAATCTGTTAAGCTATACAATTTCCGTTAATATGCTATGGAAATTATAAGCTTCAATGTATATCTCATTACATATTTGACATTCTCAAAATCTTATTATATATATATATGTATGTATATGTGTAAGTATAGAGGGAGAGATGGACAAAAGCCACAGATAAACTTACCTGGACGAGGGACGACAATCGGATAGGGAGACGCCGGACGAAGACGCCGGAGACGGTGCACTAACTTGAATACGTCGGACGGTGGATGAGAGGGACGGTGGAGGACGCTTGAGCGAGAAGGGGAAGACGCTTGAGCAAGACAAAGACGGGGACACAAACACGATTTTTTCTCCCTGGAATAGCACTGATTTAGACGAGAGAGGGAAGACGCTTGAGCGAGACGAAAACGGGGACGGAGACACGATTTCTTCTCCCTAGAATAGAGCTTCAGAATAGACACAATTTCCAGCTCCCTCTGTTATTAGATTTTTGGGCGGGAATTTTTTATTTTTTTTTTCACAGTGCGTGAAACACACGCACTGTAATATGAAGGTATGATTTTTCTTTCCTTATTTGATGCCACGTAATTAGAGCTCCGATTAGTGGTCATGGTTTAGTGGTCTGAATTGGAGTTGTTTTTCTTTTCTTACACTTGTACACTTGCCAACTCATTAGTGCTTTAAGAGTTGTTGATTTAGTGCTCTAAATCGCAACTGTTTTTAAGAAACAACAACAATGATTTAGACTACTAAAAAATACAACTAATACATTAAAAATGACAAATAAATAAATAAATAAATCAAAACAAGTTATAAAAAATGAGCGAGACCCACTTACACGCCATTGGTGCTCTCACTATTGATTTTTTTAAGTGCTCCCAGTCATTTTTCAAGAAAGAAATGTGGGTGCTGTGGGTGCTGTGAGTTGCTACTTCTCCACACCACCATTAAAATGGGAAGCAGAGCTTTGCTTCTTCTCAGACCAACAACATCGACGAAGGACTTGTATTTCAAAAGCCGCTTTTTATCAGAAGCCCTTATTGTGGAGAAGAGGAGGGTCCGAAGCTATTCGGTTCGGTCTACAATTCACCCCCCTGATTTGCCTCGTTTGGCCGAAACTGCTCGCATCTATCTCACCCCAGATGAAGTATGGTTCTATTCATAATACCCATTTTAATTTTACATAGAATTATATATATATATATATCTTCATATGCTGTTCACACGGTGTTTTAATTTGCAGGTTGAAGAGTTTGCTCCAAAAATTCAACAAGTGGTAGATTGGTAACCCCTCTGTCATCTGGTGTGGTTGAATTGAAAGTGTTTTTGTGATTATATGTGTGTTTGTTTTGTGGCTTTGAATGTTATATATGAACAACTTTAATCAAATTTGACTCTTGTGAACTCAAGTAGATGTGGCAGATTCGTATGTTGTTTCTTTGGTTATGCATTATGAAATTCAAGCCATATAATTTGGCTTAAATTCAAATAAGGAATACAAGTCATAAGTATTTTCACGGATAAATTCAAACCATATAATTTGGCTTTTGAGTCAAATTGGTCCAATTACAAATGACCCACCTAAATCATTACCAGAATGGCAATAAAATAAATTTACATTTTTTAAAGTATGCGTTACATGTTACTTTCGTTTCCAAAGTTTTTAATTTTGTTAATTTTGTCCCTAAACACTGATGGAGAAGAAGTACGTAGCCTTACAGTGTTCAGAGATGAACTTCAAAAAATTGAAAACTTTGAAGGCAAAAGTGACACAATGCATATTTCAAGGACCATAGGTGAATTTTAGTATTATTCTGTAAATGATTTAGATGACCATATGAAATTGGGTTAATTTCACTCAAATTGAAATTTTTAGGGACAAATTGAAACTTGGAGATGATTTTATCCATATTTTCACACAATGTCAAGAGGATTCTGTTGCGTGCCAAACTGTTATAAGGGGAAAGTTTGTGCAAACCTAGGAATTGATTCTTTTATTGTCTGGTTGGACTTGTGCATTTGTCAGATTTCTTTGAACTGCAACTATTTTTCTTCTTTTCTTATTTATTTTCTTGTCTCTTTGCTTTTGGAATTGTTACGCTGATTCATGATTTGTTTATGCTTTGTGTGGAGGCGCAATTGGCCGAACAGACAGTACACTTGTTCCTTCATTTTGTTATGTTGTATACACATATAGCTATTGGGATATAGTGATAAGTCAAACATCATTGCTTTGATAATGTGTACAGTGTTGTACTTAATTTCTTTTAAATTTCTATTTTCCATAGAAAGCAATACTTTGGCAAGCAGCTGTTTTGATATGATGAACTGCATGATTTTTTTCCCTTCCTATTTTACTATATTTAACCCTAAACCAAACCAAACCAAACCAAACCAAACCAAGTCTTAAGTCTCATCAAATGGGGTCGGTTACATGAATCCTTCTTTTCCACGAGGCTCTATCAAAGGCCATTTCGTTAATCAAATTAAGTAGATCCATATCTCTATTTACAACGCTAGCCAGCGTTAATCTAAGCCTACCCGGTCTCCTAACCCTCTATCTACCGCCGCTGTATCGCATCTCTTCACTACTGCTTCTGTTGGTCTTCGTTAAATATGACCAAACCATCTCAATCAATTCTCTCTCAACTTATCTCCTATCGGTGTTACTCCTACCCATTTCCGAATACACTCGTTCCTAATTCTGCTTTGTCTAGTCTTGCCACACATCCACCTTAGCATCCTCATTTCAGCAACACTCATCTTATCTACATGTTGTTTCTTGGTTGCCCAACACTTCGTCCCAAACAATATCGCTGATCTAATAGCCGTTCTATAGAACTTACCTTTTAGTGTAGTGGGTATATTTAACCCTATCCATGAAACACTTTTTGGGTCTATTTTGCGATTTTGATGAAAGGGAATTTCTATATGCTTATGTTTTCACATTGCATTTTGTTTGATAATAGGTTTGGACAACTTCAAGCAGTTGATCTCCAAAGCATTCAGCCAGCCATTAGGGCAGGTGGGTGGAACACTTCAATGAGAACTTGATGTTGTGAAATGATGAATTATTTGGTCATGTAAATAGTTTCTGCTTTCTGTATATGATTTCAAACGCACTGAAACATGTGAGGATCCATAAGACCAGTTTTTCCCCCTTTGCTAACAAAGCCAACAAAGAGACTGATTAGGTCACTAAGGCACTGCAGACATTATTATAATTATTGGAGATAAGGCGTATATAATTTTGTAATTCTTGATTCTTGGTTTCTGTTGTTTAGGTACTACCAAAAAAGAAAAGGTTATTTTGAGCACACAAAATTAATTGCCCATTACATAATGCATTTTCATGTTGCTGATTGACCCATTGATCCTCTGTGAAATATGTTCCTAATTTTGTTTACTCACACGGACAGGCAACCATGTCTTTTATGTGTCTTTACAATGGTTTGAGCATAAGCTAGCATTGGGAGTTTCCTTTTAAGTGGTGTAGTGTAGCTAAATGGATAGTTTTTGATTGGATGTTGCTAAAATTCTCAACTGCATCTGTAGATACTAAAGGTGAAAATTTGCGTGATGATGTGCCTGAAACATTTGAGAACAGGTAAAGGGGTTTCAATTTTTTACTTCTTGATTGTAGCTTTGTACTTTGATATTTGATAAACAATGCAGTAATTCATTCAATCTAAGTTCAGCTTTGTTCTTTGATAGGGATGCCATGATAGCTGCTGTTCCAAGCTACGAGGAACCATTTATCAAAGTTCCCAAAGTCCTGAATAAGGAGTAATGCTGTTTAGGTAATTCTTTAGCCAATAAGTTGGTCTTGGAAACCAAATGGAAATGATACTTTCCATGCTTTGTTTTTTCCACAGTTAGCTAGCAGTTTTCGTATTGTCTCTCTTAGCTAGCAGTATTCATATTGTCTCTCTTAGCTAGCAGTATTCATATTGTCTCTCCCTTGTTTTTAGAAACAGCTGAATTAGAGGATCATTTTAGATATGAATTTGTGCCCTACATATTATAAATTCCACATAATTGAAACAACTGAATTAGAGGATCATTTTAGATATGAATTTGTGCCCTACATATTATAAATTCCACATAATTAAATTTGTAGGTATCGTTGTGTGCATTTGTAGTATTAGTATCAACTGAAAAAAGGTTAGGAACCTAGGGCATCGTGGCGTGACTAAGAAAAAGGAAGAATGTGTAGCGGTGTTTTTGAAATTTTTAAAGGACTATTGCATTTTCAGACTCCCGTGTGAATTCTACAAGACTGGATTTGTATTGGTCGGTCATAGGAATTCATGGTTGACAATGTACCAATTTTTTCTTGAGTTGAGTCCAATTTTATGAGACTGGTAACGAGGCAACATCAAGCTAGTGTGTACATAATCTCAAGATTATAATAAACAAAAAGCAAATTATGCTTAGATTAGAGTCACTTTGTGCCCATTGGATTTATCGCTCATTGCAAAATGACTCCATTGTGGAGATTACATTTATTGCTAACATCCCATGGAGGATTGCGGTTATAATGAGTCACTGATTTCTTTTTATCATGATTCTGTTTCGCTTTTCACTATGTTATACAGAGAAGGAAGAGGAATTCGCTCAAAGCACATGCGTGACACCTCAAGAATGGCAGTAATCTGATCCAAAGAAATTTTTATTTTCTTTTTAGGTGACAGAACAATTTGTGGGATTAAACTGAACCATGTACTGCCGGTAATGTTAAGCATTCAACAATTGAAGAAAGATCTTTAAATGACACAATGATGATTTTGGCTTCCGTTACATGCTCTTTTTTTTATTTTTTTATCAACCAACTTTTTTTTTGAGGAGGAAATGGTATTCACACACAACTTGGCATGAATTGTCTAGTAATTCATGCATGAGGTTTTATGTTGCCTTTTTTTAACAACGCTACAAAACACAGAAATTTTTCACATAATGCGCAGCTTATACTAGAATGCATATAGTGTTGCCAGTATTGTATTACGTGTCTAGCAAAAATATATCTATATAATAAGACAAAATAGTTTTTGAAAATGTATCAAAATGTATTAGAGATATATTTTATTTGAATGGCTGAGATGATTCCTAATCAATATCTAATGGTTGAGATCAATTTTTTTCCCACCCAAACATGCTCTGCTCTGCTCTCTCTCTCCCATGTCTGTCCAAACACGTCTCTTCAACTCCCTCGATACACGTTCTCTCTCATGTTCTCTCTTCAAAATCAAAGGAACCTGATCTCTGCGATCATTAGCGGAAGCAGAAGAAATAGAAGCAACAATGGAAACATCGGCGGAGCGAACGGCGATGCTAGCAGGAATTCGGCAATAAGCCACTGTTCTTACCTTTCCCCTTCTTCATCCTTCATGCCGATCACCTACGATCATCCGATACTCCTCCAATCGCAAAAAAACTGTATAATCCTCTCTCTCAAAATCAAAAGAACCTAATCTCTGCGATCATTGGAGGAAGCAGAAGAAATAGAAGATGGAAACGGAAGCACCGGCGGAGCGAACGATGGTGCTAGGATGAATTTGGCAATAAGCCATTGTTCTTACGTTTCCCCTTCTTCATCCTTCACGCTGATCACCTACGATCATCCGATACTCCTCCAATCGCAAAAAAACTGTATAATCCTCTCTCTCAAAATCAAAAGAACCTAATCTCTGCGATCATTGGAGGAAGCAGAAGAAATAGAAGATGGAAACGGAAGCACCGGCGGAGCGAACGATGGTGCTAGGATGAATTTGGCAATAAGCCATTGTTCTTACGTTTCCCCTTCTTCATCCTTCACGCTGATCACCTACGATCATCCGATACTCCTCCTTCAACTCCCTCGATACACGTTCTCTCTCATGTTTTCTCTTCAAAATCAAAGGAGCCTGATCTCTGCGATCATCAGCAGAAACAGAAGAAATAGAAGCAACAATGGAAGCATCGGCGGAGCGAACGACGATGCTAGTAGGAATTCGGCAATAAGCCACTGTTCTTACCTTTCCCCTTCTTCATCCTTCATGCCGATCACCTACGATCATCTGATACTCCTCCAATCGCAAAAAAACCTGTATAATCCTCTCTCTCAAAATCAAAAGAACCTAATCTCTGCGATCATCGGAGGAAGCAGAAGAAATAGAAGATGGATACGGAAGCACCGGCGGAGCGAACGACGGTGCTAGGATGAATTTGGCAATAAGCCACTGTTCTTACGTTTCCCCTTCTTCATCCTTCACGCTGATCACCCACGATCATCCGATGCTCCTCCGATCGCAAAAATCCTCTCTCTCTCTCTCTCTCTTCCAATAGAGAAAGAGTAGATGCCGCTGCTCACCACCACCGCCGCTGCTCATCATCACTGTCACCATTGATCAACATCAGTCTACTGCCATAGCAACTCCGCGACTGTCCACCACCATTGAAGAAGAATACCAGCAAACAGCAAAAACCTAATTTAGCATTGACACCCACCCTCCCTCTTCACTACCGACGCTGCTCTCGAACTTGGCACCCTTTGAACTCGCACTCGCAAGGTAAGATTGAGAATTGTTTCAGTATTCTCTTTGTTTTTTTTTTTTGCTGGCTGTGTCTGTTTTTGTGTTTCCCTTGCTGCAATTCAAATCCCAAAACAAAGGTATTTTACATTGTCTTCATTGGTTTTTCTTTAGTTCTTCAATTCTTTGTGGGTCGTTGAGAATCCTGATGCTTCAAATTTGAGAACATACTGTTATTATGGGTCATTTAGTTTTAATATTTTAGGACGAATTTTTGAATCCATACTATTTCTATTCTCCATACTGTTATTATGGGTCATTTGGTTTTAATATTTTAGGGCAAATTTTTGAATCAATTTAATACGTTTTATTTGAATTCCATTCTCCACAATTAATTATAACCCATCCTTCATAAGCACCAAGATGATTGTGGTTTCCAATTTTATGTAGAACAGCATTGAGTGTTATGGAATTTGATAAAACAGTAGGTATGAACTGATCTACTTGCAGTGTAGTATGGCTGTGGTGATAGTGTATAAACTCATCGAGTGTATGAACTGGTTTGAGGAAGATGGTTGTGGTTTCCAATTCTGTGTAGAACACCATTGAGTGTTATTCTCTGCTTCTCTTCTTTTTGTTTTCAAATTAGAGTTGGTTTTCTAATTTATTGTAAAAAAAAAACGTACCATTGAGTGTTTATGTTGGTTGTTGATTTAGATTCTTCCCCACCCCCACCCCCACCCCCAATTAGCTGGTTGTTTATTTTTATTTTTATTGCTTTGTATTTTCAAGTGATTAACAGTTTTAATTGTGTTTTTATGAATTATAAGATAGGCGATAAATTTATTTGAAATTTGGGTTGTTTGTTCAAAACTAACCTTTATCAAAATAGTTTTAATTGTGTTTTTAATTTTTTTAATTACCGTGCCTATAAGGTGGAGATGATCAATGTGGATTTTCATGGACCCAAAGACAGTGAATCATCTATACCCATCTTTGATTTTTTTATTTTTAATTTTATATTTTTCTGAAAAAGGGAGAATGGTTTTTGAATTTGTCCCAAAATGTATCAATATTTAATGGTTGAAGTATGTGTAGTGATTTTAGGATTGGATCTGTGTTCTTTTTACTGATTAATTTTTAATTGTTGTTGGTGTTGTGATGATTTGGGTGTTGTGAGTGCATATTGTTGTTGATGAACACATGTATAAGACTTGATCTATGCAAAGTAATTTTTGTAGCTAAATTTTGTACATATAAAAGGCTCTGATCTGTCCAAATTGATGATGATGATGATGGTGATGATGAGGTCGAAGAAGTACTTGGAAGAGGCACATACAAATCTGTTTTATTTTAATTTTTTGATTTTTTTTTATGATGATGATGAACATATATGATTTGTTGTTAATGATAATGATCTTGAACAGATGAGTGTGTATATTTTTCATGGACCCAAAGACAGTAAGTAGGATGATGGTGTTCCCTTTGTGGCTCCCAAGTTGTAGATTTGCCCTAATTGAGCTAAAATATAAGCTGAGTTGTGAGACTTCAGTTTGGCATTGAGTTGGACCTTTGTAGCCATTTAGGGGTAAATTTGTGTTTGATGGTTTTGAAATGGGTTTCAAAACCCATTTCATTGAAATATTGGTTTGTTTGATTTTTTTATTTTTGTTGATTAGGTACGTGTTTGGGTATGATTTGGATTTGTGTTTGTGTTTCCAAACTGGTGGAGGTGGTTGGTGTGGCTGTGGAGGTCAACTGAGACATCAATGAATGGTAGAGCAACTTTGTGTTAGCTCAAAAATTAGTAGAGCAACTTTATTGAAATATTTAGGTGGGTTGAAAGAGAAGTTTTGTTTTTGTTTTTTTTTTTTTGGACTCATTTTGTAGTATGGTATACAAACTGATCCTTGGGTTTGAAATAATAAATGATCCTCATGAAATGGTTTTCATTTTTCAAATGGGTTTTTTGATATTTTGATACATTGATCCTCGGTATTTTGCCATTTTCAATGTGCTGGGTTAGTTTTACTTGAAAGGTTGCTGCACTTGCTTTGGGAATACTTGATAGTTAGTTTAAATATTTTGAATTTCCCTTAATGTTCCATTGTATTTTCAATATGTTGGGTTAGTTTTACTTGAAAGTTTGCTGCACTTGCTTTGGGAATACTTGATAGTTTAAATATTTTGAATTTCGCTTGATGTTCCATTGTATTTTCAATGTGTTGGGTTAGTTTTACTAGATAGTTTGCTGCACTTGCTTTGGGAATACTTGACAGTTAGTTTAAATATTTTGAATTTCCCTTGATGTTCCATTGTATTTTCAATGTGTTGAGTTAGTTTTACTTGATAGTTTGCTGCACTTGTTGCAGAAACCATTGTGAATAATTCAAAAGGGTGGAAATAAAAACTTCCCTCCATCAAACACATTGAAAACAGTAGGTATGGTTTAACCAATGTGTTGGGTTAATTTTACTTGATAGTTTACTGTACTCGTTGCAGAAATCATTGTGAATAATTCAAATGGGTGGAAATAAAAACTTTCCCCCATCAAGCACATTAAAAACAGTAGGTATGTTTTAACCAATGTGTTGGGTTAGTTTTAATTTTTTTTTGTCAGTTTACGGATCTGGTTGTTTTGGAGTTCCATTTATGTAAAATTGGCAATCCTAGAGCCTTCCACCACTGCGGGTAAACTGCTTCCCAATGTGCAGATAAACTGCTTCCCACCCTCTTGAATTATTCACAATAGTGAATGAAGCTACTATTTTTTATTATCATATTGCTTTAGTTGCCTTCATACTGCTTACAAAATGACTTTGTTGTTTGGTGAATATATATATTTTGATGTAAATTTATGTTTGAAAAAAGTGTCTATTTTGTTGTCACATTATTCACAACTGATTTCAATTAAATTAAAACTTAATTATGTTGTGTGTGACTCTCACATTTAATTATGTCTACTTCACAAATTTTATTAGAACCTGCTGAACATTCATATTTTTAGTTTGTAAATATTTTTTTCATAAGTTTTA